ATATAAGAAAATATATAATAAAATTTAAGAGAAAATATAAGAGAAATGTTATTAAAAATGCAGTTATATTACAATATGAAACCACTTTTTGTGTTCTAACAAAAAAAAATTCTCCTAAAATTTTACTATAAAATCTCTCTTCAAGCCTATAAACTACCCTTACCTCATCCTAACCTTAACTAATAAAAAAACTGGTTGTTACGTTATATTTGATTTTATGATCTGCAGGGATATAGCAACATCGCAGGGTACGGTATATAAATTGTCTCTATTTTTTATAGTTCTGAATATTTTTACTTAAAAGATTAAAATAGGTTATCTTAATAAAATTTTGTTCAGAATTGTCAGTATATACTTACAAAGCTTTAATTAAGGGTAGGGTATATGTAGATCATTTTTTATATAATCTGTATTGCAAATTCTATTTTAGACAAAAAATGAATACAAGCTTATAATAAAAGTTTTTTAAAATTTAATAAAAATTTATAAAATTTTTATAATATATATATATTAAAATAGTATATATCTTTTTATAAAATTTTAAAGTTTATTAATTATAAAAAATTTATACTTGTATATATTATAAAGTTTGTCTAGGTTGACTCAAATTTGTCTAGGTAGTACAAAATAACCTATTCTAATTGGTTAATTTCTGTAATTCTATAAGATAAACTATATAGTAAAAAATTATATCTAATTTTTAAATGAGAATTATAATTTGGTGCACCATGCACCTATCATGTGATACAGATCACAAAATTTTTATTAACCGTGATTTACCGGTAGTACTATAGTTTAATACACAATAGTTTCTTCACGTATATTATATAGTTAAATAATAAAGCTAATTCCCTGTTCTAAACTTTTTTTTAGGTCATTTAGAGGCAAGAACGATCTTTTATTTGTAGAAATCCAGAAAGGCTATAAGCAAGACGGGGCTAGTAGTTGGTCAGTATAGAAATATAATTTATACGTCATTACACGTCACTTCTCTCAACCTCTACTAATGAGACTAATTCACTTTCACAGCGTTTCTTTTAGGTTATTTCCAAGTAAAAATAGATTTTTTAATAATGCACTATCAAGGAGATTATAGGTTTGGTAAAAATGCAAAACAGTCAGTTGGGCTTATAACTGTCAGGATTTTACTGGACTTTAAATAAACTCAGACTTGAATTCATTATTATTAATACTTGTGCTTACAAATCAGTTTTTTTTCAAAACAAAACTCAAACTTCCCCTTCTTAATAGCTTTTTTAATAGCAAACGAAAAAAAAATCATACATTATCATGGAAGATTTTAACAAGAGCGATGTCAATTTGACAACATATTTTGAGGAAATTACTCGTTGTAGTGAGGATGTAAATGATACCATAAATGATATGTACAATAATCCGGAACTAGTATCTTTAAAAGTGGGTGACTCTTTCAATACTTTTGATGATGCTGAGACTCATATATGTCGATTTGCGGAATATAAGGGATTTAAGATACGACTTGGGCATGTAAAAATGGTAGATACAACTAAAGACATAGTAGATGCAACTGAAGACAATAAAGTAGTTCGTAAGCGAACTATTCTCTGCAAGCACTCTGGCACTTTTAAGTCTAAAAATACTAAAAAGCCAAGCACTTCGGCTTGATTATCATGCTCATGGCATATTAATCTTTCACGCCCTTTGAAAGACAATCCCAATTACTGTATAATTATTACCACTTTTAAGGATGAATATAGTCATGACTTATCTCCTGAGGCAATATGCTTTGAAAAAAACAAACAGTTTACAGATGAAATGCAGAAGGAGGTTGAATTTCTTGTTACTAAATGTCATCTTGGTGCAACTATAGTGCGACATAGATTAAAAAAGAAGTTTCCATCCCATCCTATGTTTTCCAAAGATCTCTATGCCGAAATTCAACAATACCGACCATCGAGTAGTGTAATTAGAAGCAATGCGTCACAATTTTATGGGTAGTTGTTATCAAAATAGCAAGAAGATTCTCGTTGGTTTATTGAAGCTTCATGGGAAGAGAAAACCAATACGTTAACAAATTTGTTCTGGATAAGTCCAGAACAAATTCTATTGTAGTGTGAATTCGGTGAGGCAATTGGGCATGATAATACTACAGGTACCAATAGGTATAATATGCTACTTTCTTTATTTGTAGTATATGATGATAATATGCAATCTCGCATTGCTGCTCAAGATTTTGTTAGCAATGAATCAACTGAAACTTACCAGTAAGTTCTTCAAATGACCAAAAAAGCCACTAGCAATAAATATCTCTATGTGTTTGTAACTGATGGTGATCTAGCAATAGAACGTGTAATAACTTTAGAGTATCCGAAAACAAATCACCTTTTTTGTATCTGGCATGTTAAAGAAAATTTAAAAAAGGTGTTGCGTAGAAAGCTGAGGGATTTATTTGATGAATTTTACAACAAGTTTTGGCAATACAGGAATGCTGATATATTACAAGGCTTCGAATACTATTGGAATCAACTTATGAACTTCCCAAATGCAAAACTATACCTTGAACGTTATCTTTTTGAACGTTGACATTCATGGGCACGTGCTTTTACAACTATGATATTTACACTTGGTATTCAATTCACATCCTTCGTCGAAAGTCAAAATGCATGCATTAAGTGAGTGTTGGAGAATAGTAATACTTTATTATGTAATTTAGATAAAGTATTGATGGAAAGAAGTAAGGAAGAACAAAAGCGAAAGCAACTTGAAGAATGGAGACAGGGCATTCCTTCTACAGCAAGCATTGTTACTGTTTTCCCCCTATAGAATCTTTAGTAAAACATTATTTAAGGCCAAATGTTTCATATTTTTTAATAAAGCAGATGAAGGAAAGTGTGTATTATACGGCTAGTCGTTTCACAATTAAAGAGGTAGAATCATATATAGTTTATGAATTTTCACAAAATAAGGACATGGATGATGAGCCCGATGTGGTTTACCTGTCAGCTAAGTACCTTCTAGGTCATTTAGAATAGAATACGGTTGAGAAAATCTGGAAAGTATCACAAATCACAAGTCACAAGATTAATCATTTTATTTTTCTTCTTGCAAATAGTTCATATAGTTGTACTTGCCTTTTGCAGCAAAGAAAAAGTCTAGTTTGTCGGCATTTTTATCATCTGCTAAATATCACAGAGAAGGCACAATTTAGTTTACAGCTGTTAGCAGCACGATGGATCCCAAGAGACAGACGATTAGATGCAACAAAAGAACTTTGGTCAACGATTTAATGAGATAGATTATGATATGAATATCATTCAGAAAAGTAATGAGTGTCAATTTGTGTAGTTGCAACAATTTGCTAATATTGAAACAGAGGAGTCTATTAGTGAAGAGTTTATTCATGAAATGCTTTTTTATGAGAAAGTTTGGGTCTCGCACATACTGCTGTAAATAAGTGTATGTTGCACCGTGATCATGAATTTGTTGGTTTAATTGAAGCTTATTTAGAAAAGATTCATGCAAGAGAACATGAATTGCAAGAAACTGCAGTACCCCAATATACTATTGAAGAAGGTAATGTGATGCCGATTGCGAATCCTCGAAAGGTGGTTACCAAGGGAAGACCAAGGTTAGCAGGTCATGATCAAAATGTTGTAACACATGAAAAAAGTAGTAAGAAATGGGGGCAATATACTTGTGGATTTTGTAAGGAACCAGGTCATAACATTGCAACCTGTCTGCATAAAGCAAAAGAGTAAGTATGTAGGATTGTGATGATGTGATTACTGTATGCATTGCTAATGTAGATTCGTATGTTTGTATGTTAGCCATGTTTTGTTTGCTTGTATATCAATTGTATATATTGCTAATTTAGCGTTGTATGTTAGTATGCCAATCGTGTCTTGTATGTTTGTATATCAATCGTATTTTTATATGTACTATTGGTTGATAAAGCAAAGACATTTTTTGTCTCTATTAAAAGGATCAGTTTGCTGGGTAATACTTGCTTTATTGTATTATGCATTTGTAGCGCAACTTACAATGTAAAAATTGTTTAATTTATCTGGTTTCGATTTTTGATGATGTATGAATTTAGAAAAGCGTAAGATTTTAAAGATCTGGATTAGTTCTTTGTTCAAAGTTTATTCAATTACAAGACTGTTTAAATGCACTTTGAGACGTATCAATACGTATTTGTTTACGAACATAGATATATATATGCGCAGTATATAGTATGATACATACAATAGTACATATGTTACAGGTCAAATTGGTCTTTAGGTCAAGTTAATCTTGACCCGGGTCAAGGTTAACTTGACCTAAAAACTAATTTGACCCGTAACATATATACAGTTAAAAATGTGTATATATCCATAATATTTTCTTTTTAAATGTTTAGAATCAGTTGTTTTTTGCTTAGAGATGTTATAATAACGTATCTTATTTTTTAAGTTGTGTGTATCAACTATATAGGGTGTCCAGGATTATGCGAAAGCATAATATGCGCATAATTTACCAATTTTTCGCATCACATATGCTTCGCATAATCGAGCAAAAAAAAGCATAAATCACGTGAATAAAATATGATTGGTTGTTGGGAGTACGTTAA